ATGATCTCCAGAGGTCCCTTCCAACCTCAACCATTCTGTGATTCTATATATGGATTTGTTACTGGGGCTGTGGGTATGTCTGTATTGCATGCTGTGGTCTGTTTAGACCCAGGCTGCTTTTGGTACCTGAGCTTAGCTGTTTTTGTTAGCTGGCATGTCTCTGTGTTGCACCCTGGTGGGCAGTGTAAACATCCCATGGGCTATGGATCTCAGCAGCCTGTAGCGGCTGGGGCTGAGGGAGGAGGCAGTTAGCGCTGCATAAATTAGGCACCCTTTACTTTGTAACCAGTGTTAGGAGTGTCAGGTGCACTTGCCTGGTAGCAAGGGTTAAGTGAATTTAACATGGGAAGTAGCTGGAAGTGAGCTTTCTTTCTTTCTTTCTTTTTTTTTTTAATGGTAACTAATGAGCATTGATCAAACTGGTCCAAAAGAGTTCACTTCCAAAGTTTGGTACTAGTGGTGCTGCCTGGGACTGGTGCAGAGATGGGCCGTCACAGAGGCTTGGCCGGCTCCCTTCCGCCCCAAAAAGCAAAACTCATCAGTGGTGATTAGAGCTGCTGCTTGTCAGCGCGTGAAGAAGAGCTACAATTCATCACTCACGCTGTCGTGAGAAGCCACAGAAAAGTAATTAGCAGGTAAAATGTCTATTAATAGCTCCCACCACCTTTAGTTTGAATACCCGCTGACAAGCTATTACTGTGTGTAGCTTAGCTTCATCAAGTTCGTGTTTTGTGATTGCTGGAGACGGCTCCATGAGCGGCATTTCTGTGGAGGTGGGGTGTCTCTGAAGAGACCTTGCCTCTCTGGCTTCTGGTGGAGAAAGCACACGTGGAGACTTGCTTTGCTTCCTGTAATCTCTGCCAGGATGCAGAGATTTTTCTGTGGTTCTTCCAGTGACGGTAAACGTATTTTGTCTAATGAAACGATAACTTGTGTTGGTTGCAGAATAAATGCAGAGTGGGGAAAAACAGAGTGTTGTCTCCTTCGCCTGCAGTTATCTTTTTACATTGCTCAAAAATAAATGCATTGTTTGCTAAGAAAACCATTGTTAATAGTGTATTATCACATGTAAACTATGATTAAACTTGGCGGTTATTATTTGGGTAAGCTTTTTTCCCAATATTAGAACATGCAACTTTTTGTTTGTTTTTAATGTAGGCCAGAGATAGTAGTAATAAAGAAAGTGGGGATTTTTCTAGCTTGGCTGCTGTTTTAGGATCCTTCTACTTGAGGTTTTTAATAAACACAGCAATCCAAAAATATATTCTGCCTCAAATTTATCTCTGTATTTTACATCCCTGGATATAACTATCTCATATTATGGGTGGAGGCTTTACCGAAATCAGTGCTATTCCTAATATAACACTAAATTTTATGTAGGTTGGATGTTAAGTGTGTCAGTTGTTTATGCTAAAGAAAACACACACATTTTTAGAATACCTGTGAAAATATGCTTCATGTCTCTTAATATTATCCTTTTCTCTATACATGCCTGCCAATCAAAAAAGGCACTTGAAAAGGAACGAGATGTCAACTTGAGGCCACTAAGCTTTCACGGGAGCTGCTTTTCTAAGTATATTTATATATATAATTATGTATGTATATATATGTGTGTACATTTGTATATACAAAAGTACCCTATTTTCCTATTGCAGAATAATTTTTCAAATGCCTCTTTGCCATGTCCGGGGTGTTCGATACTGCGAGTTTGGATATTATTGGTTCTTTACATCGTAACAGAGCTCAGGGCCTGTGAGTTGCCTGGGTGCCCAGCGCAGCGGGCACAATGCGCAGGCACAAACCGGTCCCAGGTACCGTCCTGTCTAAACAGACCAGGCAAAGACTGGTGGGGTGGAAACAAGAGGCGTGAAGGAACTTCAGTGCTGTCGAACCCCGTCAGCGGGGCGCCCCGAGGCGAGGTGGGAGCGTGCCCCGAGGCGAGGCCTGGCGCGCGGCAGCTCCTTCCTGACGCCCTCTCTCCCCTCATTAAACAGGGAAACCCAGTTTGGGGCAGATGGATTAGGTTTCCTTCGTGTCTCCTTCCCGCTGCGGCAGGGGTGGGTTTAGGGGTGACTCAGGGCAGGGGCGGATGGAGGACTCGCCTCCCCGCTCGCACGCGATGCGAGTGAGTTGCATCCCCGGGATGTGAAGGAAAACAGGGCAATGTAGAAGAGGGGAAATGTGAATAAAATAGTTCATGAAGAGGGGAGTGTAGTGGCGCTGAAGAGAAATTCCAAAGAGCAAAAATAGTGATAGTAGAGAGGAAAAAAAAAAAAAAAAAAAAAAAAAAAAAAAAAAAAAAAAGGGGCCATATAGTTAAGAGAGCAGCTGCAAATTGATCTCGTTTTGACCTGAACTGAGACGCTGTAACACGAGGGGCTGCGGAGGTGATAATTTCTCCTTCTCTGGGCAGGCTGTATTTGGTGCTGTGGAGCTTTGGCCTCACACACATAGTGCAACACAGAGCCGGACTTGTTATTCCAGATTAAACTTAAAATGTGGGTTTTGTGGTAAAAACATTTTTAAAACTGAGACACGCAAGATTTGAAGAGATTGAGAGGTGAAATGTGATGAATTGCTGAGGAAATTCAGATTTACGTTTCTGGCTTGAAGATGAGCTCAGTATTTGGATAATCACATTCAGCTTCTTCATATCATCCGTGTTAATTAGGAAATTCAACATTTCTGCATATTAAAAACAAAGGAAACCTTAGAAATAAACCTATGGGAAACCTGCAGTTTCCCCTCTATGTCTGGGGACAAGAGCAATCTGGTAAAAGCACGTTGTACAGGTTTGTTTGTGGCAGGTTTTTTGTTTGCCTGACTCTTTGAAACCCTTTCTCTGAGTTTGCTCAGGGGAAGCTGTTCTGTAAGAAATTTTGCAGGGTATGTTTTTGTCAAGAGTATCTTCCTTTTGTTTTGTTCCTGGCTAATTTGGCCAAATTGAGCTAAATGCTTAAGAAATGATAAAATAAGGCCCCTAACATACTCTCTCAACCATTGGAAACACAGGAAACCACAGCAAAAACAAATTTATTTTTATCTGATGTTTATCTCTGTTATTTGAATGGATTTAATAAGTAATTAGTTATGAGCCATTTAACTGCATAACAAAGTATGTGTTACTTTTCCATCCTAATTTGTTGTTTTCTTCTTGTAATTTTTTATTTCTGGCTTAAATGTATCTGTTGTATAATTGCTGTAGAATATTTACATGTTGGAAGAGCCATTGCCCAGGCATGTTAAGTGTGATGGCAAAAGCGTGACCCACTCAGAGACTGTTCAGTTGATAAGCTTATCCTTAAAGCCCTCATTGGCCAAAAATTTTATGTTCTCAGAAGTTACGGTAGAGGTTTTTTAAATGCGACCTTGGCATGTGTTCACTTCCCCCTCAAGCGCATTCTCTGCTGTGAGAAGAGGATTATTTTAGTGGATCCACAAGTGTGTTCAGTTTACAAGTGCGGAGAGGCTCTGGCTGGGGGATGGGAGACAAGTCAATACGCTGAAGTCTCCTTCCTGCACTATGGCCAGCGTTTGCTCAGCGGAAGCTGCGGAAGGATTCGGGGCTGGGTGTTTACCAGGGCTCACCTCAGCGTAGTCTTCCTGGAGACCCTGTATAGTTAAAGCAGAGATGAGTTTATTTAGTAGACCATTCTAATTAGGAAGATGACGACTGCTGTAAATTGTCATTTTTTTCCCTCTGTTGGTTATAGAAAAAAAGACCAAGGTAAATGAGCTTCAGCAGTCTTAAGCTGGCGCTGATGAATCTCCCTTCTCCCATCTCTTCTCCTTATGGACCAGTTAGTGTGGGGCCAAAGCCAGGTGTCCAAGGCGAGGGCCGGTACAGTCAGGGGGCATCAGTAGGAAGCAGGTTTTTCTGTGTGCACCTGAACTCCAGAGATGCTTTCTCCATCCGTCTTCATCGTTTGTGGTAGAAAATAGCCCATCTTCAATAGTAAGTGGCCCTTTCCATAGTCATCAGAGCAAGTTGTGAGCATGACAAACTATAACCCCATGATGCGGTTAAGCCAAGGAGCACCCTTTTGCAGTCCCGTCTTACTCCTTACAGGAACGATGAGCACAAGTCTACGCGCTTGCTTATTCCTTTACAAAGGGAAGGGAAAATCTCTTTTGAACTAACTCTTCACTATTATTCCTAGCATTTGTGAGAGAAAACAAATCTATTCTAGAAATAACAGATCACTGATGGCACTATAATATATTATAACTGAACGTTAAATTAGTGCATTCTCAAGTGCAGTTTTAGCAACATTTGTATAGTTGAAGGATTTCCAAGTACCATTTGTTAATATTGCTGCATAATTATTTTCGTCTCTGCTGCATAGCTGAGGACCATAATTTAAGCTTAAGGGGTTGACTATTAAATGGAAGCAAAGTTTACAGCTTGGCTTTAAAGGGCAACATAGGTATTGTGCAGAGGAGTACTGTATTCTCTCATCTGTGATTCTGCTTTTCCCTTACTCTTAACAAGAATAAAAAGAAGTTAATGAAGATGCTTCCTTCACTGAAACCAACAAAAATAATTTGGTATTACACTGTGTCCATACTGTGTACTTGTGCTGGTTGTGAGCCCTCTTTCCTTAGGTGTTCTTAGAAATCGGTGTGAGTATGAGCCTGAGGGACAGGTCCATAGCTATCAGATCTACTGAGAAGAACCATCACGTCTACTGAGAGTGATGCGTTGCTTTCAATATCAATCTTGCAGAGCAGGTTTTTTTTTCGTATTGAGCTGTTCTTCTCAATGCACTTAAAACCAGCCTAAGGATCACTCATAATTTTGCTCTTCTTTTGTTCTATTTTTATGCACTTTAGAAACAGAACATGCCATTCGTTTAAAAAATAATGAGTAGGTGTGTTTCTACCTTAATTATTAGGAATGGTTAAGTTTTGAAGCAAAAGAGTAGTCTTGCTGTTTCTCAGTACTTCATGTTGAGCTGCAGAGCTAACTTTCTTTTCTCCTTTTTTTTTTTTTAATGCAGAACTATGGTTTGGAAACAGAAAATCTAAAAACCCTTTCTCACAAATTGAATGCATCTGCCAAAAATCTGCAGAACTTCATAACTGGGAGGAGGAGGAGTGGTCACTATGATGGAAGGACCAGCCGCAAATTGCCAAATGACTTTCTGACATCAGTAGTGGATCTGATTGGAGCAGCTAAAAGTCTGCTGGCTTGGTTGGACAGGTAAAATCTCCCAAATGTGTCACAGGTAACCAGTTCATGCACATGCACAAAACCCAAACTCTTTGCAAAATGTTATTTAGGCATTGAAGTGGAAGCAGAATCCGTTTACAAATTCTGAGGGAAAATTTATAGCATTTTTTTCTTGTTACTTGGACTGCCAATGTGCAGTTCAGACAGCATTCAGTACAGTATTTTTAAATGCACTGCAATCCTACGCATATCTGGAAACACAATAAAACAACAGGACAGCATCATTAAAATATATGTGTATTTTTTATTAATATAGAACAACACTTTCGTCAGCATAACTCAGATTCATTGCTCTGATATAATCAAACTTAGAAAACTGTGATTGTACTTTTCATTGTACCGATGTTAATATATACTTCCACTGTGTGAGTATGTGTGTAAACATGTATGTTGCAGTTTAGGTTTATTAATTTGTAAGGAAGTATCTCTTGAACGGTAGATGCAACTGGAACTGGATTATAGTTCTGCCTGTATTACCTAGAAAACATGTTTGACCAGGACTTTCTTTTCTCCTTTGCTATATCAGCGTTGACCTAGCAATAGTAATATCCAGGTATTTAAGATGATCACTGAAACTCAAGTGGTTAAAATTAGTATATCTATGTTTCTTTATAAAATGCATCAGCACAGCACATTTTTATCAGCAACCATACTGATCATCCTGATTTGAAAGTTTATCATTTTTTATTTTGTATGCAGCAGCTAAAATTTTGTTCAGGGAATGAGTCCCGTGTAATTCTTAGAATCGAACAGACTTATTTGGATTTACTGCTCTGGGTTTTGTTTTGTTTCATTTTTCATGAGGAAAACTGGCTTCTATTCCATAAATGATCTCCATATGAAGGGTTTAGGTGAGGCATGAAGCTTTTCCGTTTCTTCAGCTGAACTGTAAACTCTTTTGTTCCATAGACTGCAGCTGCCGCTTCCTCTTCCTCTTTCCTCTCTTTCTTGCCCTCTCCTGACTTTCAAAACCTGAATATCTATAAAGTTGCAGTCAAAATTTATGTTTAGACACTTAATATTAGATACGCAGAGGATCAATACAGTTTCATTGAAGAGCATGGCTTTCAGTATGAAAGTTGAAAAGCTGGGAATATATTTTTAGCTCTGCCCATAGCCTGTTGTGACTTGGAAGAGCTGTGGGCCTCACTTTTTCGTCCTGTAATTCATTTTTGGCAGAGAGCTGCCTGGGTTTTGAAACAGAAGGAATAATAGAAAAGCGTCGTCTTCTGCACAGGCAGATAAGTGTTTTGCCACTTCTTTCCATTTAGAAATAAGCTTGACTGTTTTCTCATCTGACTTGTGGATAATGTATAAAGACTCTTCATTAAGAAGTTGAGTATTAGTATGAGTTTTTTTGCATGAAGTAGACTCTGATATTAAAAGTAAACTTTCACAGATATATATATATTTAGCACATTGAAAAGCTAATTATGTGTTTTGGTATGTTAATAAAAATTTTGTAGTCGAACTTCAGAATAAAATGTTAGGAATCTTTTTTTTCCCCCCCCCCTCAAAAACGTGTCATGATATACCACTAGTGGCATATGTTCTTCCAGAGACATGTTAAAATGGTGTTGTTTGTCTTCTGGCCCTTTTTTTTCCAAATTATAACATTAGATCATAGTGGAAACACACGAGGCTCTCACGTTTTTTCTCTGGGGGGACTGGTCAAATAATTGAATAATGAAATCGAAATTAAATGGAAGTGTCTATATCTGAGCACTAATGTGTCACGGTGGTACTGCACTGGGCCCAAATTATGGACTTTTAGTATTAAAAGACAAATCCAGTCTGCAAAATGTGTTTGTAGCTCAGAAGTCCATGGAGAATTACCTATTACTAAAATTAAGTTTATAAAGACAGCTGTAGTATATCTGTCAGAGATAACTCAGATAGATAGCAGACTTTATTGTTGGTGGGGGAAGATCTCTTAAGTTATTTTAAAAAACATGTATATCAATTCTACTCTCAGGAAAATGCGTGGCTTTTGCCTCTGTCTGAAAGGATGGCTGATCAGCCCCGGGAGTACTAAAGAGTTAAAAAGGAGAGCAGCCAAAGTGGGAGTTTGCTTTGAGCAATGTTGTCTTTGGTGCCCAAAAAAGACTTCCTAGAAGCAATATTTTAATTTGAATTTGATTTCTGGGAATGTCCTTCTGAAGATCTCTGAGACTTAAACACGTGGTTGCGGCAAATGTTTTTTGTAATGTTTTAAGACTTTTCTGATTTATGAGGGTGTTTTTGTGGCTAGGTTTTGTCTTTCCTCTCTGTGAAGCCCCCAAGTTGGGATGAAGGCAGGCTAATGACTACATTTTTTTTCAGAGAGTGGGAACATCTGGAGATCAATAGGATTCTGCTTATTATATTCCTTCTTAGCATCTCCTAGGGCCGCTAGAGGGAGATAGAAAGATTTTAAAGTAAAATATTGAAAGCGATGAACATGAATTTCATTTTATTTTACACAGTCCTTAGTGTTAAGACTGGACCCTCGAATGTTAATTTTTTGGCTGGTTCCTAACACCAGTTCCATCTTTGGGGTGTGAGAGAGGGGAGGGAAAATCATTAGGAGGAATAACGTGGCTGTTAGGGTTATCTACTCCATTGTAACATCCATAGCAGCTTACTCCTGTGCAGTCCTTTTCAGGTCACATCTGGAAAAAGCAGCTGCAGCATCTCCAGCATGCCTAAAGTGCAATGATATGTTTCTTATGTGAAAGGGCTGGTGATGACTCCATACAGCTTGTGCTTCCCTTGCTGCTCTAGGGAGCTCTCTTCTTCTGATGTTTCCATAGGGTGCTCACATCCAGTGTGGGTCTGTAAGGACCTCACTAGGCCAGGCCCAATCGCACTCCCAGGCTCGCACTCCTAAAAGAGTGTGACAGCTGTGATTTGCTGGGCTACTACTGTTGCAGCTCTTGGGTTTACACTGCACAGGGCAGATACAGGGATATGGTCTTTATTCCAGGTCTTTCCCTGGAGCAATCCTGCTTCTAGCTGTATGTCAGAGCATGATGTTTCAGTGAAAATTAGGGTAGCTTTTATTCTCAAGTTTTAAAAGTCTTCTGGTTTAACGTAATTTAGGAACTGGAAATTTCAGTAAAGATTTCTAGCTGTTTTCTAAATAGTTTTGCTGATTATTTTTTAGGAGCATAAAAGAGCTCCCTAATAAAGATGTCCTGTAAAGAAACGCATCGCGCCGCTAGATTATGCCCTTTTACTTTTTAGACTAATTTTAACTTCCTGTTACTGTCTTAACCCATGAAACCTTTCTTTTCTTCCAGAAGACTTCTGAAGATTTTTCACTTAATACTATTTTATTTTATGCTCTTTCTCTAGTCTTCAAATTCCTCCAAGCCAATTTGCCTGTTAGATTTGTGCTGTCTTGAAAAACTATAAGAATCTTTTCTGAAAGTATGGTGCATTTCTACTTTACGTGTTACGTGGATCTTAACCTGATGAAAAGCTACGCTTTAGGCTATAGCAACAAATTACTTATCTGATATTCAAAACAACTTGGCACCTAAATGTCTCTTGTGATGTTTCACAAGAATAGCAGAATAATATATATAGTCATCCACTTGTTCCAGACTTTCATTTAGATTGTGGGGGTTAGTTTCAGGCTTTGTTCCTGTAGTTCTTCAACCTTGTTTCTTTGGATTAGTAATATATGACATGGTTCTGAGTCCTTCTTCTTTTTTGATTTGGTGAGTTCCTGGACATTCTTCTGCCTTTCGCAGAGCTGATGCACTCCATTGTGGAGATGCCAGCTCAGTGCTTTCTGCACTATGTGCTTATTTGCTGAGATTATGCCTACCAGTTCTCCTAAATATGTTTCTCACATTCTGAATGACACTGAGAGCACACACAACCTTACCTTCAAAGTCAAGAGAACTCATTTTATGCAAAAAATATTATTTGCTAGAAATAGAGCGGGGAGTCAAATATTGTTAAACAAGCAGTCTGGTCAAACAAGCAAAACTCTTCTTTGTGCTCCTGACCGCAAGGTGTGTTAAGTAATATGCAACCTGGAGGCCAAGCAGCAAATGTAATGAGTACAAATCTCCATCTTATATACTTTTATTGTGGTGTTCAAAAATAGATTATCTAAGATCTAGGAAAACTGGAATGCTGACTGTCAAGAAAGCACAGTTGAGTGGAAAATAAACTGAATAGTTGAAGAAACCAGTGAAAGGAATGAAGAAAAGACACGATTGAAAAATACATGCAGATTTAGTGAAAATAAAAAATGAGGTTTATCCCTCAAGCTAAACATAAACTTAAGGCATACCAGAGGTGTATATTATCCATCCGTTGCTTTCTTGAACTGAAAGCACTGTGAACTCAGTCAGGACTTTGAGAATTAAACTACTTGTTTTCATCTTTAAGAAGTTGTGTTAGGATTTCCTACTGGTATCTTCAGTGATAACCTGTGAAAACTTCATGATTTTTGTCCTGAGGCAAATGTGAACTTAAAAGCAGTGATATCATGGGGATCTCAGAAAAAACTTCTGAGCTCAAGTTTAGGGGGTTTAGCAATGCTTACAACTAACTTTTTCGTTGACTGAGACACAGCCAGCTCTTGTACTCTACTCACATCTCCTTTTTTTTCCTACCAACTTGCTACTGCCTATGGGTTGCAACTGAAATTGTGATGAGTCCTATGATTGAAGGGCACTCAGATCCATCAGAGACTTTTTCTCTCAGTATCTGCCGAACCATCTGACTGACAGAGAGGAGGTTGTATTTTCGTCAGAAGCTGGCACCATGTTGAGCATCCCTATTCAACTTTTTTCTCCTAATAAGTTGGAGGCTGTTGCAAAGTGAAGGCGCCCTTGGGACTGAAAGCATCTTTTACACATCCTTTAAGCAACCATTTTTTCCCTTCAGATCTCACTGTACATCACATTCCAGTGCAAATACATCCATATATTATATGAACATATTTTTCTTGCATGGGACAGCTAGATTTA